GTTCACGGCGTGGGCCGAGTAAATGCCCTAATAGATCTCGGAGCAAGTATCTCCGCGGTCAAAGCGAGCCTACTGCCGCGCAACAAAATTCGCTTCCAGCCCACCGCAAGCGATGGAGAGCCCCCGATTGCCGCCAATGGATCAACGATCCCCAGAGAATCCATCTGCATGCTCCTAATCTCTAATAATAAACTAAATGTTGTACCGTACGAATTTCTCGTCGTTCCGGAGCTAGCGGAAGATCTCATCTTAGGGGAAAATTTTCTGAGAACCTACGGCGCTGAGATCGACCTAGTGGGAAGTTCAATAGACTTTCATTTTAACGCATACGCCCAAAAGAACGACCCCAGCCAATCGAATGGCGATAGAGTAGCCCAAATAATCGTAGCTAAGACAACAGTTATAGACCCAAATACTTGCGCTAAAGTTCCCGTAAGGATCAGCGAAGCTCAGGATACAGCCGCCGTCTATTGTGTAGGACCTAATGGCGCTCTAAAACATAACGAACAGCTTAGCTTGGCCAACTGTTTAGTACAAGTAGAGAAAGGTCGGTCAAGTGTGTGGATCAGTAATTTGTCGGAGGGTCGCGCGATCGTGCCGGCGCAGATGAGAATTGGCACAGGCTTCCAACAGCAGACGCCGACACGAATGGCCGCCCTACGGGACAGCCGGCAGAGATCATCATCGGCCCCGAGCAGACTGCCCCAGAACAACAGACGGACCCATACAGAAACCAGCGTAAACAACAGCAAAGAGTTGGCAGACCGAATCGAACGTTCAATCAGCAAAGAACTTTCGCCCCGACAGCGAAGTGAGGTAGTGAACCTAGTCCTCGAATTTCCGGGCCTCATCCCAAAAGAAGGACAACCACTCCGGTTGTGCGAGAAGACGCAACACCGCATCGAAACAGGCGGAGCGGCGCCAGTGTCCCGTAGATACAGCCGCCGCTACGCGCCCGAAGAACGTGAAGCAGTGGCTGCTGAGGTGAAAAAGCTGCAACAGCAAGGAATCATACGCGAGTCGAGCAGCCCTTGGTGCTCGCCGGTGGTCCTCGTGAAAAAGAAATCAGGCGAGTACCGATTCTGCGTAGACTATCGGGAGCTAAATAAGATCACGAAGAAGGATGTATACCCCATCCCGCGCATGGACGATGTCCTGGACAGTCTCGCCGGGGCAGAGTTCTTCTCATCGCTTGACCTTAAACAGGGATACTATCAGTGCAGTGTCGCGGAGAAAGACGTAGAAAAAACGGCCTTCATCACCAACGATGGACTGTTCGAGTTCACGAGACTACCATTTGGGCTCACCGGAGCCCCGGCAACTTTCGAGAGACTTATGGATACGGTGCTCAGAGGTAGGAAATGGCACTCGTGCCTAGTCTACCTGGATGACGTCTGTGTCTTCGGGCGCTCTTGGTCCGAGCACAACGAAAGACTGAGGGATGTACTCCGGTGCCTGGACGAGGCGAACCTGTCCCTGAACCTGAAGAAGTGCCACTTTGCGGAGAAGGAGCTACAGCTTCTGGGTCATACGATCACCACGACGGGAATCCTCCCAGACCGATCGAAGATAGAGGCGGTGGAGAGGTTCCCCGTCCCTGATTCCGTCAAAGCCGTGAGAAGCTTCGTGGGACTGTGCTCATTCTACCGCCGCTTCATACCAAACTTCGCGGGAATCGCCCGACCGCTGCACGATTTGACGAAAAAGGACTCAAAACTCATCTGGACCCAAGAACACGAGAACGCGTTCGAGAAACTCAAGAGGGCCCTGATGTCGCCACCGCTCCTGGTGCATTTCGATCCGACAAAGCCGGTCACCGTGCACTCAGACGCCAGCGGATACGGCATAGGTCTCATCCTAACACAGCAGCGCGACCGGGACGGAGCGGCGGCGGTTGTCGCGTACGCCAGCCGGACTCTGTCCAAAGCCGAACAAAACTATTCGACGACGGAAAAGGAATGCCTCGCAATAATCTGGAGCACGCACATTTTCAGACCTTACATGTACGGCAGATCGGTCACCGTGGTGACCGATCACCACGCACTGTGCCATCTGATGTCAGCCAGGGAGCCGGCGGGAAGACTCGCGCGCTGGGCCCTTAAGCTGCAAGAATTCGACATCACGGTCAAGTACCGAGCAGGAAAGAAACACGCAGACGCAGACTGCTTGTCCAGATACCCTCTACCAAGAATCGCGCTCCTCAAAGAGCCAGCGCGAGCCGGACCCATCAGAACCGAGACCTTAGCCCAGATGCAGCGGCAGGACGAGAAACTTGCCGCGTTCTTCGAAAAAGCCCACAATGGCCCACAGTACGAAACAATCGACGGAGTCCTGTACAAGAGAAACTTCACATCGATCGGCAACGACCTCTTGCTGGTTCTACCTAAGAACCTTCGCCGGGAAGCCCTCGAGGATGCCCACTCGCACCAACATTCAGGACATCTCGCGCTCGCCAAAACTTACGGAAAGCTCTCCCAGCGATACTTCTGGCCCGGGATGTACAGAGACTCAAAAAAGTTCGTCTCCACGTGCTTCGAGTGCCAAAGAAGGAACCCCAGAGTCGGGCCCAATCCGAACATTCAGCACATGGAAACCCCCAGCCAGCCGTTCCATACCGTTGGGATCGATTTGGTTTCGGTAAACGAATCCCGAAACGGCAACCGAGTTATAGCAACAGCAATCGACCACCTATCAAAGTTTCTGGTGGCCGCGCCGCTGCCCAACGGGTCCGCGGAAGAGGTGGCGAATTTCCTGGTCCATAAAGTCATCCTTCCCCACGGAGCCCCGAAAGTGCTAATCAACGATCAAGGGAAGGCATTCCTGTCCCGCCTGGTGGGGGAGGTGTGCCGAATCAGCGGAATCGAGCAGCACAAAACTTCTGGCTATCACCCGGAAAGCAACGGATTGACCGAGCGCTCACACCGAACACTGGAAGACATGCTCAGCAAGTACGTTAACGCGGCACAGGACGACTGGGACGAGTTGCTCCCTTTCATGGTCACAGCCTACAATTCGGCCCCTCAGGAATCAACGCGGCACTCCCCATTCATGCTAATCCACGGGCGGGAACGCGATTCCTTCTTCAACGCTAACTTGCCCCAACTGACGTTGAACTCCGAGGAGCCGAGAACAGCCTACGCATCAGATCTCATGGAAAAAGTGGCGGCGGCTCGACAGATTGCCAAGGAGCTGGCAGACGCAGCGAAAAATTCTAATATCGCCAGAAGATTCAACGAACAGACGCCCGCAATCAAAGCCGGCGACCAAGTCATGCTGTTTACGCCGGTGCGCAGACCGGGCCTTTCCGACAAACTGATCCGTAGACAATTCGGCCCCTACGTAGTTACCAATGTTTTCAATAATAATAATGTAGAGATAGAACCGCTCGAAAACGCAGCGACAGCAGGCAGACCTAAGAAAGAAATTGTCCATATCTCGAGAATCAAACCCTTCCGCCCTGCAAGCGAATTACCGGGAAGCGAAACCGAGAATGCGAGCGGAACCCCAGGGCACTCCGCCGAGCAACACGAGCCGGAAACGACACTGGAGTGGCAGACCTCAGAGGAACCAGAGGAACAATCACCGCCCACCCAGCCCATCCAACCCTCCAGCCCAGCCCCAACACCGCAGTTGGGTAAGCGGCAACGTCGGCCTCCGCAATGGTTGCGGGACTTCTACGTCTAGTTGAAGAGTCGGGCCGACTCTTTTCACGGGAGGGGAGGTAGTGTAACGGAGTTGATGGAGGCCGCAGCGGCGGGCCGACGACGGAGCATCTGGAAGGCGACAACACCCACACAGCGGGAGCGCTGGAATCCTAAACTTGTATCTAGACCTGCACGCGAAGCGACCCCGGTTCCCACGATTGTTTTGGTATCGGAGATCGGGGTCGTGAAGCGATCAGGGATTCGGGAACTACCGTTCCTGTGTGTGTCTTGGAGTCAGCCTAGCAGTTACGGCTCAGTAGCGAATATTCGGAAACCGCGCGCTCTAGAGGGAGGAGCGGTAATGGTCCAATAGATGTGAATCTGGAGATTGTGGAAAGAGAATTCGAATGGAACAATAAACCGGCCGCGGAAACTTCTCGCCGGCATTCTGGTGTGAATCCTCAAGCGGAGTGTTTACTCGTGCCGTCGCCCCTCTGCCTTCCCAGGCGCGCCCCTCAGACCTTCAGCCCCGCAGCCCCAAACGCCGGACTCCTTCGCCGTCCCCATTCGTCACCCCTGGCATCCATCGAAGCCTCCGTCGTCAGGAGACCGTAAGTTTCCCGTGGTCCCGTACGGACATCGGTATTCGGCGCGAGAGCTCCCCCCGAAGCCTCTTTACACTATCTAAGTAAGTAATTACATTTTCTCTGTTCATTTGGTCTCTCGGTTTGGAGATCATTCAGAGATATCACATTGGGGCATTCTCGTGCGTGGTATTTGGGACAGAGTTTGGAACATCTTCTGCATATACAATCGTCGGATTCGTGGAATCCTTGAGTTTTGCAGAGTAAATGATGAAAGCCGTGTACAGCGAATCTAGTTACAATGTGTCGGTTCGTCCTTCCCGGTTCCTTTCCAGGAGTCCATCGTCATTGCTTCCGTTGAATAGA